ATTCTCACGAAGGCGTTCCCGATCTATCAGATCCTTGATGCTCTGCAGTAGAAACTTGTAAGACCGATGATGGTCACCTTCTTTTGCACGATCGAAAAGGTCAATGTCGTACCTTAGGATCGTGCTAGTGCGGATCTGCCTCAAAAGGATGTCTCGAAGCACGTTTTCGTGCGGTGGTTCGGGCATACCAGCGATGGTAGCGTCCCAGCGGTTGATGAAACGCTTCAAGTCCGCTACAGTATCGCCTACCTTTACCACATTGAGGAGATCTTCAACCCTGTAAAGGCTACCCGCTTCTTCCGAGGTCTTGAAATAGTCGTCGAACATGAGAAGAATCATCCTACCTCGAACCTGGATGCCTAGCTTTGCCTTCTCTTCTTTGTAATTGATGATTCGGTTTGCTAGATCACCCTTCGCACTTCTGGTCAGCGCAGCTGCCAACTTGGTATCCAACGTTGTGAACTTCCCAGGGTTAGACAACCGCTCTTCCAGAACTTTCCTCTCATCAACAGTGTTGTAAACCTCCATTAACCAGTCCCAGGCTGCATCTGGTTTGTCAGAACATGACTTGATTTCGTCCCTCACATGATGTTTCCACTGCCGATAGGTTTCAGGGGTTGGCATATCATTCAACTTGATGTGATCTGCCTCCTTTACCTTTGGCTTCTCATCTGACTCTCTTTGAGTGAGTGACTTGACCAATTCGATCACCTGCTCAGAGGTGATGGCACCTGATGACGCTGGCTTATGGGGTTCGCGAATTGAAGGTGCAGGGCTATGGAACATATGTGTCGGTGTTTTGCCCCCATCCGCTGCTGTACCTCCGTGAACTGGAAGCACGGGCTTGATAGGAGCAGCTGCCCCTGGTGGGGCATCACCGATGATGGTGGCCGTCGGCGCTTTGGGTGCGAACAGTCCACTCAAACGTGCAGTAGCCTCTGCTGCAATGGTCTCCAGAGGATTTTTCTTCCTAGTGTCATCATGCCTAGGGGTAGACACTGGTGTGTTCATGACACTTGTTGGACGGTACTCTAGCTCGGGTTCAGCATGCACTTTGGCTTTAAGGTCATCGAGCATTTGCTGCAGGCTATAGTTTTCATTTTCTGCGTCGCGTAGCTCACGTCGAAGCTGAGTTTCCCGCTCATCAAACTCTGCACGAAGCGTTGCCACACCTTGCTCGGCACCGCTGGTGATGGCAGTGACAGTTTGCTGACAATCGTGCATGAGCTGGATGCGCAAGGAGTCCAGTTCTGCTTTTCTGGCTTCAGCCTCGATGGACCTTTCACTCTCTAGCTTTAGGATCCGCGCCTTTGCGGCGCTAAGTTCCCCTTGCACTTGGCTGTAGCTAGATTGAGCTTGCTGCCTTACCGAACTGAGTTCCTCATGATGCTTGCTCGCTACTTCATCGATTGCTTGACGAAACTTGGTTTTTACCATTTCCAACCATTGTCCCATTATCTCTTTGTGCCTTCTCTCTGCCTCAGCAATAATAGCATCTTCATTTCCGTTGTACACTTGTTGAATGTTTTGCTGCACAAACTGAAAGTAAGCTGTGACAGGAGCTGAACCCATGGGGTCATCTAGATCCACTGTGGGCTCAGTCATGAGACCGGCTGGGACAGCTACCGATGATGCACCGTTCCCAGGAATAGCAAGAGCGTCCATGGCTGCGGTTAGAGCACTACGGCTGATAACCTATAGAAACAGCCGTTAAGCTGCAACTCCTGTTTTGGGCCGCGAGCTGCGAAGTCAAGGTGACATGACATCCTACTATGTGCAAGGTACAAGGTGTACATATTACATGGAGTGAAAATACACTTCTTCTTGTCCTTCTTCTTTGAACCTGCAACCTTCTCGGGCTCGGCTGGCTTCACGGGCTTCGTGGCTTCCCCTTCTCCGGACAAGCGGCGGGCGTCCCGAGCTCGAAGATCTCTGAGTTCGTCTTCTTCGTTCGGGTCGGCTTTGACCAAGTTGCGAGTCCAAGGCTCCTCTTCGCTCCGCCCCTTCATGAGGCGGCCTTTCAACGCGTGCACGAGGTCGTCCGCCACACGCTCCCCAGTGCACGCCTCTGTGCACCGATGACAATGCACAACTGAATCCGGGTGGCCGGACTGGTGACGAAGAAGAGCTTCTGACGTCGTTCCGGTGGGCTCGAGCAGGAAGTGAACCACCCCATCTTCTATGGTGATTCCCTTGATCGTGCCTGCCACGCTGGCTGGGCCATGAAGTAGGTCATCTCCGTGACAACGATGCTCACGCCCTTTCCAATCTCCTCCAATGGAACCAGCTTCAGGGACGCTTCTTCCCCGGCCAACCAGCGCTCCCGGACCGCAGGAGCGTCCCCTGCTGCGGGTGCTGCTGCAGGACGACGGAGAGGATGTCGAAGCACTCCCACTCTCATAGGGGCAGGCGGTCTTGCCGCAGGCCTGGCCCTGCCCTTCACTTTTGCTTTGGCTTTGGGTGGCATTGTAATCAAAAGCGGCCGAGTCGGCGATCAATGCCTCTCTGCCGATGCTTTGCGCCCTTCGACCCCGTGGGTCGTTTTGGAGGCGTCCTCGACCTGCGTTGGGATGGCCTATGGGCTGAGTATCCTCCTGTGCTGCCCTCGCGATCAGGCGGCGGGTAACTTGGAGATCTGGGCCTCCTAGGCGGAGGTGGTGGTGGTAGCAATCTTGGGAAAACGGTGGCCGCCCAAGACTTGGGTGCGGGCCTGAGCCCTTGGCTTTCTGGCCGGTCTCCTCCCGTTGCTGTCGACTCAGGAGCGACCTCTTCGGGTTCTCTGGATGGCTCTGGACTGGCTGGTGCCTCCCCTGAGTTGGGGTCTGGGGTCCTTTCCTTGACCCTTGACATCGACGATCACGCTTCTTTTCCTTCTTGTCTGAGGTGTTCCTGCGCTTCCTTTTCTTCTTGGGTGCTTCTGGAACCGCTTCCTCTTCCTTTGATCCTGTCTCTGACGCTTGACCTTCTTTTGCACCTTCGTCGTCCTCCTTGATCTCGCCAACCGGGTCCTTGGTCTCCTCGTGCTCCTCCTTGGTGACAACAGGCTCTCGCACAGAAGCCGATGAAGCTTCCGCTGCGCTGTCCTTGTTCCCAATTAGCGCCCAACCACCGGAGCCTCCGGCAAGCCAAGAGGTCCACTAGGGCCAATGCCCCGGGGCTCCACCACGGCAGGAGGGCCTGATTCGGCTCTCTTCCGTTCCAACAGCGGCGCCGCGATCTCAGCCAGGTCAGTGAGGGCACCGATGCAGCAACGCAAAACCTCAACGGCCTTAGCCTCCTGGGACCGGAGGAGGAACCCTCCAGCGAAGAGGTCTCTGATCCTCCTCACTGACCGGCAACCAGGGCAAACCTGCTTGAAGCCAACACTGCGGAAAACAAGGACATGTGAGCAACATCTTAACCTACGGGGGCGCAGATACATATAGTATTCTGTTCACGCTTATGTGATGTCTCCCCCTCTCTCCACCACGGTCAGGCCCAGATCTGCCAGCTAGTGTAGTTTTCCCGTGCTTGGGCAAGGACTGGCAGGCACTCGAGCTCCAGCCTCGAGTTGGCATCATGGGAAACAAGTACCTGACCTTGATGACTGGTCTTGCTGCTGGGCGCTTCACTGATGCAGGGCGCGACAGCCTAGCAGATTCCTTATCTCTCTGCGGCTTGCTCACTCCAAGCAGTTGTAGCGGATCTGACTGCCAGCCAAGAAACCGCTGAAGCTGCAGCATTCTGCAGCGCGCTACTTTGCACAGCAGCTGCCTTGGTCCAAGCGCAGCCTCTGCTTCAGATTCCGGATCAAATGCTCCCTTAGGCTCCCTCCCTCTCTATCTCACCGTATCTCCTCTCCCCCTCTCGCAGTCTCTCTCCCTCTCTCTGCAGTTGTCTTGCTTCCCTCATACCCGCTTGTCCCACGGTTCCGCTCTTCAGGTCTAGTCTTCATACCCTGCGTTACTCTTGCCTCTTGACACGTTTTTCATGGACACGTTCTTGTACCCTCCCTCTGTCTATCTTACGTCTTTATCTTCTTTTCCTTCTTTCGTCCTTCACCTCTTCACTCTTTGTGCGGCCCTCTCTCTCTCTCTCTCCCTTGCCGTTTATCCCCCCTCTGTCTGCAGGCCCAAAACTTTAAAAAAAGAAAACATGCGCAGGCTAAGGTCCAGCAGCCGATCTTGCTGCTGCCTTCAAGGCAGCCTGTCAACCGCAAGTTGTTTTCTCTGTCTGCCACACATGCCAGCCGTAGTTTCACCGTGTCAGCCATGCTCTGGGCCCTAGGCTTTTCTAGTCATCAAGTGCAAACGAATTCATGCGATGCCAAATATCCGACATTCGCAAGGCCTTCTTCTCCGAAGCCTCGCAGTGCAAACTCCAAATCAATGAGCCTTTTCTATCTTTCCTTAGGATTTCTCTGGCCTGGCGTCCAAGCTTGATGGGCACCGTGGAGGCGCGATCCCTGCCTTGGTAGTCCATCAGTGCGTATACCCTGGCATTGCTGGGAGATAACAACCAAATGCTACAGTAGGACACAGGCGTCTAATGCAGTCTCGGTCGTGTTTCACGACCTCATGTCAGGTTCAAACCCAGACAACTCTGCACCTCTTTGTTGCATTCCCAGTCTTTTTCGCTTCTTGCGGATCTGTGCCAAGTCTAGAGTCTAGCACAAGCAGGGCTGCTTGGCGGGCTTATTGTTGTCACTTCTTGCATATGGCATGCGTGTCTGCTGGGGTTTGTTGGGCATGTCCGATGCTAGGTTCATTGCCCACCGCCAAGTCAAGTTGATTCGTGCCTCAGACAGGAATCACGGCACAAACCGGACAACCCCTTTGGTGGACGTTGCTCTGGGAATCGAACTCCACGCGCGACTCGATCTGACAAGACCTTTGTGCAAACTGCCATGCACATTCACTCGAGTATGCAAACTAAGCAGTAAGGCCGGGTTTCATGGAAACTGTAAACAAATGAAACTCTGCTGAAGCGGACAGCATGCAAGTAGTGCTTTTGGACAAGGCCTGCATCGACGGGTTAAGCAATGCTCAGTGCACACAAGAAGCACCTTCTGGACTTGACAACACCAGAAAGCACGTCAATGGGGACAATTGCACGCCGCGTCGCCCTTTTCAACCAGTTTCGATTGCACGCACACTCGTAGGAAGCTGCTTTTGGATGTCCACGAATATGTACCTGAATTACTGAAAGGATGTGCACCATCACTGGTTTTGGAGTGCACATTTCTCATTTCATTTGGAACACCTCGAATTACAGTAAAGAAAAGAATAACCATCGGCAGTGCCAGGTAGCTCTTCTTCGCCACCAGCCGGGTGTGGCCGTCTTTCAGCCTTGACCTCAGCCGCCAGGCCAGAAGAAAGAAGCCAATCGGAGACGTCCACTCGCAAAGACGGGCTCCAAATCCTCGGCAATACCGGACATGGCGCGGGCGTCCCTGTAGAAACTGTAGACTGTGGTGAATTGCTGAGAAACCTTACGTGCTGTTCATGAATTGCCCAGACAAGCTGCACAAAGTGGCGCCCGTCAGCTCTATCTTCCACATCGAACCTCGGCCACCATCACATCCATGAACAGCTGCTGCATCACTGCATGGCTACACGAAGCACAGAAGCACACCATGATCACAGTCCAAGTCTGCCGACGCCCATTGATGGAGACCAAGCTGAAAGTGGCCTGCGACGCCTTCATTTCGAGCATGCCTCAGCAGCACCCAGCCACCAGGCCTCGGGAGAGGGGAGCTTTCGTGAACAGGCAGCTGTGGCATGGCAGCTGTGGCCTCACTCTGAGCATTGCACCGAGCAACCCAGATGAGTTCCAAAATGCCCATGAGTGGGTCGTTGGCATGATCCAAGGAATTCCTGCGGTCAAAAGCTGCAAAAAAGACGGGAAATGATTCAACTTGACTCAAGCCAAGCAGCGTCCTCATATGTACTACATCAAAATGATGTTGCGGGAAGCAGTGGTGTAAAGCTTCCGTTGGACACTGAAGTGGAACCACTGGTGGGTCGTGCTGGAGAATGTCCTTGTTTTTGGAGAGGGCACGTCGCACCAAATAAGAAAGTTGCAAACTGTTCGCACAAATGTTCACCTGAAACTTGACAAGTCGAAGGCCAAGCTTCATAAAGTTGGAGGTAAAATCTGGCCAAGCCGTCGCTTGCTACTACGGTGACGCTGTCACCACAATCTATTCGGCCTGGTGCTAGGGGCCCAGAGCCTGCATTCAGTACCTTGCACATAGACTGTAGAGGTTCTCAGGGTCAAGGCTGAGGCAGCAAAGGATTGCATCAACCGACAAGCTCAGTAAGGGCGAAACCCTTGGCCGCCCGTAGCTCGTAGTGTGACCCCGAGCAGCTGCCAAAAAGGTACAAATGTCACCATAGTGCCAAGTAATGTCACCTGGCAGCTTCAAGGACAGCGCTCTGCAAGAGCGTGACACAGCTTGAAAAAAGAGTGTGACACATGGCCAGACCAGCTTCGTCTGCACCTGATAGCAGCCAGTCCTGGGCACTTCTCCAGGACGAGAAGTCAACTTCGGGGTTCTCGGCGTTGCTGGGATCCAGCAAGGCGTGCCAAAAGCCAACCTCTGAATCAAGCCCTCAGCTCAAATAGCAGGTGGAATGGAGAAACAACATATGTTGTTCCTGGGGCTCCCCCGAAACCCAAGAGAAAACAAATAGTCATGAGTCATTTTATCAACTAAGGTTCCTCGAACCCATCTTATCATCAACCTTGGTCAGTCAAAGGAGTTGAATGCTTTGACGCTTGCAGAAACAAGACTAAGACCGCGTTTTGCAAAAGCTAAAGCACCGACCGTATACAAAAAGGTGTTGAACCCACAGAGAAACCTGCTCAATGTACGGCAGACTGCACCCGCATCGCCAACCGTGGCTCTTGAAGCTGCATCGCATGTGACTGGAAGGAGAAATCTTTGGGAGCGACTCCAGCGGAAATAAAATTCGCCATTTCGGTGAGCATGCAGCCTGGGTGGCCACAACGCACTGCCACAACGCACGCAAAGCTCAACCGCACCGTTGCAGAGCTGCAGCTGAGAAGCGTAGCTGCAGTGAATTCCATCCGATTCCTTAGGCCCAAGTTTCTGCACGGATCTGTGATGGCAAGTGCTGAATGCTGTACAGTAGCTTTGCTGCAGTTTAGGCAGAGTGTCGCAAGGACCTCTTCAATTGTAAAGGGCCAATCAGATTTGTCAAGACAGTGGACGACATGGTCGAGCAACCGCACTGCAGCGTCCATCCTGAAGTGAGTCTGCTTGGACCACCAAATGTTATCATAACGACACGCCCGGCAGGATCGAGAATCTGGACAGATCCACGATCTTCGTCTTATCGTTATGAATATACGGGTTCCGCATCAGGACAAGTCTCAGTAGTCGGATCTCAGAAAGATGGTGCGGGCTAGAGACAGGCTCCACCCCATCTTCAGCAGTGCAAGGCCCGCCTCTTTGATAGTACGTTCCTGATCCGAGGCATACGTCAACCATCTCGAGCCCCCACATTGACCGCACCACAAGCAAAAAAAAAAAAAACACCAAAATGGAATTCTTGTGTTAACTCTGAGTTGCTGTAGCCTGGTGCCACTCCGGGAAGCACCAACCTCGATCGCAAGTGTTCTAGGCAAGGGTACTGATGACTGCTCAAAACTTGCTGCCGGGGAGCTGCTCTCCGCTAGTCACGCACTTATCTTTCAAATGGCATCCAAAGGGGCCATGCGCAACTGAAGCGCATTCCTTGCCCAGCTATCGGTTCAGCTTGGGCAACAATACAACACCATGCAGCTCAAAAATACGGAAATAGAAAAGGCATGAAAAGGCTGTTGTTGAGTATGTAGTACGTTGTGCTGGAATGTGCCGTAGTGTTGTGCCACAACCTGGAAGTGCTAAAGCAAGAAACCGATGGTGGCTCTAGCGCTGCCTTTTTGTTGCGCAAGCACGCCGTATTTGATTTTTAGCCGGGGGGGTTAGGCCGCTAGTAAAGGTTAGCAGCTAGGGAGTCGGTAGCTAGTAGGGAGAGGTAGTTGGAACGCCGCCCATAGAGGGCCGTGGTGTTTTTGAGGTTTCTGGCCTTGTCATGTATTTTTCCTGTGATAAACATGGGTTCTGGGCAGATGGGGGGTTGGGATGGGATAATAACGTCCGTTGTGGATGCAGTATATGTTCTGAATCATGGTGGCATCCCCGGGAAAGTACTTACATATGGTCTATCATTGTCATTCAATGTTCTAGTTTCCTCCATATTTTGTCATGCATTTGTCTCAGGGGATGTGCGGTTTCTTCATGTTGTTCAATGCTCTCCTGTCTTGCCGTAGGTTTTTTAGCGCGAAGGCCCAAGAAGTCGCGACCATGTGTGTTCTGGTGTTGTTGTTTCGGTTGGTCGGTCTTGTCCTCCTGGTCTTTCTTGCTTACAACCACTGTGGGGGGTGAATGTGTTTTCTATAGATCAATATATAGATGGTTTGACGCGGGATTGCAGTGACCTCTTGGTGTGGTTTGTTCACAACACGGTGCTGGATTCTGATCGTGGTTGGGTCAATTGCGAAGCGGTCTTGGGTACCCGTGTTTCCTTGTTTGAACTCTGGTGTAGCACGTGTTTTCCGACAGTCTTTGATACCTGCGACCCCAGCAGAGTATAACTCAGCTTTGAAAAGATTGCTGAAAGCACATGGAGCCTGAGAGCGTAAGTTTGAAAGGGACTTCGTGCGGTAATAGACCTCCAATAGATGATAGAATACATAACCGTCGAAACATGTAAACAAAACAACAGTTGGGGGCACCTTCTTTTGAATGTTGAAGTCGCAATTCTACTGGAAAATTGTTCGCCAATGTAATTGAGCCATTCAATCTTTAAAAGACTGAATGCATTTTCCCCAATCTAATTCCGTGCATCTAAGACATGAATTGTCATTTCGCACCACGGCCCTCTATAGGCGGTGGACCTAGTTGGTAGCTTAAGTAGCTACTACTTAGGACGCAGGATAGCTCACGCTTGCTCTAAAAAGAACATTGCCCGTTGCCCCACTTCTGGCTAAAACATTGAACTCTTCTCTCCCTGTCCTCGTGTTCCTCGCATAAGCGCAAACAGTCCCCAGCTGGCATTGCCTCCAGGATGTCCTGAATAAAGGGATCAAAGTCGGTTCCTTTGTGCTGCGTCAGAATCATCGGACAAAGAAACCCTTTAAGGCTCATAGGCTCATAGACGAGTCTCTTTCACAGCCCTGCCCTCCGCTTGCACTGGTCTCTCTGTCCAGCGCCATCGGCTAGATACATCTGCCATTTGCCTCAACCCATTTCTTGCAATTCTAGATTCCAGAGAGTTGCTCTTTGTGATGTGTCGCTTCCTTTCAATTGCTGAGTCCTGTTTTGCTCCTCCTCGCTCATTGCACAAATGCAGGCGCCGAGGTACAGTGCAATAGATTGGCTGCACACAGCTGCCACGGCAAGGAGTCCAGCGCCACAAGTGCTTTTCCAGATCTGAAAAGTTGCCTGATGATGAATGGATGAAGAAGCACAAGAAAGAGAGAGAGAGAGAGGTAGAGAAGGAGCGAAAAAAATAGGAAACTTGCCCGAAAAAACTGCCTCATCGACTCGAGAAGTTGCGAAGAATGCTGAATACGTAGCTGAGCACAGCTCATGCACCCACGGCCTCACACCAAGGATAAGTTTACTCTTTTGCCCTCGCCTGCCTGGTTTGGCTGGGACAAACTGGTCAATTCAAACATCAGGTGGAAGGCCACAAGCCCGGAAGCCTCGAAAAACTTGGATCACTTTGCAAGTTGCCGCCTTGGCCACACTCAGACCAGAATGGACCTCGAACTCGTGAATCGACCAAGTTCCTGACGCAAGTCCTTTTGAAACTTCTGCCAGTTCACACCTGGAGCTGCCTCCTGAGGCAAAGTGAAATGAGGAGTGGAGGCTCTGCTAAGCTCGAAGCATTCCCAAAACCGCGACATGTACCTGACAAGCGCACTCGTTGACAGGGAGCGTGGCATCTAGATTCGCATCAATCTCCTCAGCCCGAATCTCATCACCTCTGGCCTCTACAATTCCCATTCAGAATCGATTTTGATGCAGGAAAGCTTCCCAGATTCCTCCAAATGGAGAAGGATTCGAATACCTCGGCAAGCAGCACAATTCTGAGCATTGATCACTGTCACTATATAGTCACTAGCAAATAACTGAATTTGTGCAAATCAGGTGGCAAATATGCAGAACTTAAGGCTCCAAAGGCCATATGTCCATGGCTTCGGGCAAATCTTCAACTTTCACACAAACTACACTAGTGTTGGACCATGTGCCAACTTTGTGAAATCAACCATGTACACCTGCACTAGTTGGCACGCTTGTCATGTCAGGTGCAATTGGCTACGGCCATTTGAAGGTACTTGGGATCCAATCTACTCGTCTACGGCTCTATGATAATGCCAATGGCTGCTGTTGAGGTCAGACATGGCACGTCACCTCCATGACATGGTACAAACAGCAGCCAACGATACAATGGGCACCTCATACACGTCCCATGCCGTGACACACTAGCGGAAGCGAGCCTTCCATTGTGGCCAAATCACCATTCTCGAGGTTGAGCCTGCTAAACTCGAAAACTAGCAGAAAGAAAATCGCTTGCTGGAGAAGACTGGTAAGCAGGATGACCCAATATGGCATCCGAATTTCAGGACGCAAGCGGAGTTTAAGCAACATATAATACAGAAGCGGGCTCAAGTGGCTACAAAAGTGGCTTCATGAAACATATTCAAAAATTTTCAATATTAATGAGCAGAATCTGGAAAGGATGATAGGAGCTGGAATTTGAATAAGCAGCATGTGCATTTTTGAGCGCACACGTCTGTGCAATCTCTGACCGACCATGGCGACCATCAAACTCGTCAAGAAGCTTGCTTCAAGAACTTGCACCAACATGAAAGCCTTGCAATATTCCGAAAATAATTCACGCTCTCTCGGCTTCCGGCTTTGTCTGCGCTTTGGGGTCGTCCAAAGGTCGCAAGACAAAGGTGCGAGTCTAGGCAAGCGCTGGGTAAAATGCTGCAATGGTCAATGATTGAGAGACGGACTCACAGACTACAAGGTGACTTTGCTCCATGGACCGTTCTTTCTGAGGCAAGTTGAAGCACTGAACTGAGGACCACACTGCGCCCAAAGATAGCGAGATGATAAGCGCATCAGAATGCTTTGCATCGAAGCATGGCCTTGCATCCCACAAGGTTCCTTGGGATCCTTTCCCAGTTCACCGAAGGGCTTAGTAAATCGGATTCCCCAGTTTATTGGGTTCAGCACTCGTCATCTGCATGCCAACCAACTGAATCCGTTTCGTCCTGCGGGCATGGTGAACAAGACGCAGCTTTTTAAGCACACTGTCGTACTTCAATGTCCATCCTCGTATAGATTCGCGTTGCATGAGTTGGGACGATCTTGTACACCACATGCCCGGCAAACCTGCGAGTTGAGTTTGCCGCATGAGCATTAACCATTATTATATAACATGCATAGAGTGAGTACAGGACTTGAGCAAATCCAGGCAAATTCTATTCCAAGCTGAGCCTCAGACCTCATCGGTCAAATCAAGAAACCAGGGTGGCATAATCATGTTTGCCCATGACGTGCCGCTATAGCGGTACCTTGGATTCTAGTGACCAATCTCACAGCAAGATCGCAGTTGAGGGGAAGAAGTGAAGCTTCTTTCAGCCGTGCGTGCACAGTGAGATCGAGGATTCATGTTCAAAAGCTGTCCGGCCCACGTGGGCACATTGCGACTTCGTTTTGAAGTTTGTCCCTTGCTGTTGGTTCTCAACGTGTTGTTTTGAGACCAAGGTATGGTACAAGCATGATGTGCAAGTTTTGCACACACCCCTATTACATGGCTTCTGTATAATTACCATGCTGTAAAATGAAAGTGACAAGGGTTCAGGGATATCAACACTAAACAACCACCACAACCTACGGAGTGGGAGGTGTTCAGAAAGATACCCGATAGTTTGGAGAACCCTTTGGTGAGTTGGCACACGACGGGAGACCCCGGAAGGTTTAGTCCCCGTGGTGGGCAAAGGTGCCGGCGTGC